CTCCTACAGTGCCTCAAATGCCTTGTGCTACTGTTGCCAAGCTTGTTAAATGCAAGCACAGTCCCCAAGGTTAATAGAATTTCAGATGTATACATGGAAGTTTCTCAGTTCTGCCCGGTCCTACAGGAGCTCTAATTATAATCATCATTCAGAGGCTTAATATTATTTACAAACTGTTTGGTCTATGGCTAAGGTTTATTGCTAGATAGCTATTAAATCTTAAATCAATCTATTTCTGTTCATCTATGTATAGCCTTGAGTCTCGTGTCTTTAGTATGTTCTGGTACTTCTTGCTCCCTTGGCGGCTTGGAGCATCTCCCCTCACTTTCTTCTCCCTGTATCTCAGCTTGGATTTCCTGCCTGGCTATAACCTGTCTTACCACAGGCCAAAGCAGTCTCTTTATTAACCAATGGTAGCAACACATAATCACAGCATACGGAAAGATATCCCACAGCACAGATGATCAATGGATGTTCTTTTACTGTGTCTCCTGTGTAATATTGAGGTCATCTACATCATTTAAACATTCGAAGTTGGGAGACAGGGAGAAGGCTGAGCAGAAAAAATGTGCTGTTCAAGTACGAGGCCTGAAGTTTGGGTCCCCAGGACCTGTGTGAAAGCTGAGAACTGCAGCACAAGTCTGTAAACCTCAAGCTGTGGGAGCAGAGACAGGGAGATCCTGCTGACTTGGCTGCCCAGAGTCTTACCCAAAATGCAATTCCAGGGTCACTTGGAGACTCTGCCTAGGAAAATAAGGTGGCATACCTGGGAAAATGGCAGAGAAAGTAAGAAACAACATTTGCTCTGCAAACACGAAGACTTGAGTTGGATCCCCAGAACCCGTGTAAAAGGAAGGAGTAGCCTGGCAAGATGGAGGGGACTGTGAGGTAAGCACTGGGGCAGCAACAGGAACATCTCAGGAGCTCTTGGGCAGCCAGTCTAGCTGCAACACTGAACGTGTGTTCAGTGAGAGACCTTGTCTCCAAGCAGTAAGGCAGATAGCCAGAGAGAAAGCTAGTCAGTGCCCTGCTAAGCCACTGCATGCTCAAAACATGCATCACAGACAGACAGACAGATACACGGGGCACAGGCACGCACACACACACACACACACACACACACCACCACCACCACCACCACCTCCACACACCACACCATCACCACACCACACACACCACCAGACCACACACACCACCACAACCCACACACCACCACCACAACACACACACCACCACAACCCACACACCACCAGCACAACACACACACCACCACCACAACACACACACCATCACCACTACCCACACACCACCACTTCACACACACCACCACTTCACACACACCACCACACAACCCACACACTACCACTTTACACACACCAGTACCACAACACACACACACACACACACACACACACACACACACACACACACACACACACACACACA